CTTTCCTAATTCCTAAGTAACCTCTTTAGAATGAATTTCAGGACGAAATTCCCTCCATCGGGGGGATGATGTCACAATCGGGAAATTTTTGAAGTCAAACTTTATAAATAAAATTCAAGGTTTTGTTCACTTCGTTAATTTCATGAGGGTTAGAGTATGATATAAATTATATAAACGATGTTTTTGTATAAGTAATTAGAGTTAAATACACTTAAAAATCAAAGTTTTCCCTTGGAACAGAAAACTCTTTGACCGAAAACCTCTTTTTGGCGAGAACCCTCTAACCGAAATCTGATTTCGGACGAAATCTCTTTTTTGACCGAAACCCCAACCATATATAAGTTTTTCATTCAAAAACTTAATCATTTCTCACCTTTTACACTCGAAAGCACTCTCATTTTTCTCCCAAGGATAATCCAAGAACATTAAAACCTTCAAGAGAAAACCTTCAAATCTTAATATTTTCACTAAGAACACCAAGAACAGCCTTCAAATCTTCAAGTGGCCAAAAACTCTTAGACCGAGAACTCATATTCGGCCGAAAACTCTCCAAGAATGAAAATTGATTTCGGTCAAGGGATTTTGGTGAAGGACAAACTAAAAACCCCTCTTCCACACTTGTACAATTCTCGGTAATCATTCTTAACACAAAATAAGTGTTTTCTAACACTTTAATTAATGGTTTTGCTAATTTCAAATACAATTATGTGTTTAACTATTATTAGGATACCGTTAATTCCATGTACATCAACCCGAGGATCATCTCTACAACACCACTATCCTTACACAAACACATATTAGAGGTGAGTTCATACTCCTACGTTTTCACTATTTGTCTATGTTTTTGGGTGGGAATACAAGTAAAACACAGGGAAATTTTGTGTTAATATTCAAATGATTTCAAACGGTTTCGAACTATGATGAGCTATTCTAACTAATTCAAACCATTTTAAACTGTTTCAAAGTACTTCAATTATTTTATACTTTGGTTTCCTAAAATACATGTTATATATATGAATATAAGACTCGTTAAATAAAACTTTAACCCTTTTGTAACATGTTGAGTATAAAGGGTACCTTTCTTTGATTAATTCATTGCATTCTACAAACTACTAAACTCTAAGATTTCCATCGCATACAGAACATACATTTAAACTATAATAGGTATAGTTTGGAAGAAACTACACTATTTTACAAATTCAAGAACATTATTCAGAAACAAGTATATAAACTATTGTTTGTATAGTTATGGAACACTACTCTATTACAGTGATTCAAGGATACACTACTAAATAATTATTGACGTATAATTATTTTATGTTATAAAGTACATTATTACAAAGTAATACATACAGTTTCAAGTACAATAAAACACTATAACACTACACGTAAAATAGTTAATACAGGGTTGTGAGGCACTTCTTCAGGGTACCCATCAGGGTACAGGTTCAAGTCCTATAAATTATAACCAGAGTCTCCTGGAGGGAGAGCGTGAGATTTGTGTATAGATTTATACGGGACTGACAATTCCACACCTGAGTTGCTTGCAATAGCTAGGCCGGCAGGCTTGGGGTGACAATAAAACTCACAATAGTATCAACTTAACATTGTTTACAGGAATAACACTACTTTAATAGTTTTATTTTAAATTAATGAAACTACAATACATTACTATACATTATAGCTGGTGGTATCCATGCATTCATATAAAGGTTTTTCATACAACACACTACTATACGTAATAACTGGTGGTATCCAGACATATGTATAAAGATTTTTATACAAATAGAATTATAGTATACTACATTACCAATACAGAGTACACTAATACAACATATAATTACAAGAAACACGCAGAAAACAATTTTATTTATTAATAAGGCTACAACTTGCTACTACAGGATACATTGACTACATATTTTTTGGTCTTAAGGCCTAAGACTACATTACAATCACTAAAGATCATATTGGATGTTATGGAATTACACTACAACATTTTCATAGAACAAAGAGTATGCTTTCTAAAACAAAATGCTTATGAACTCACCAACTTCAATATTGACACTTTCAAAATCACTTGTATTCTCAGGGCACTAGTAGACAAGTACTCACATAGGTTTTAAGAAGACGGAGCGTAGTGGCTTCAAGTCTATTTTGTTAAATACTTTTGGAGTCAATCCTATGTGATTCGATACAGTGTAAACACTATATTATCAATACAATGGTTGTTGTTTTGTTGATTACTATTATTCATTTATTGTGATACTGCACATGACGTCCTCCACCCCGAATGTTTCCGCCGTTCTGGTTTGGGGGTGTGACATAAGGAGCTCGAACAAAACGAAAATCACTTCAGATCGACGAAACCACAATGTATTATGGAAGATTTGTCGAACAAAACGGAATCGGGAGGGATGTTTTTAGCATTTGGTCGTGAAGAGTTCTTGGGGAGGAAGATGAATTTCAAGTAGAATGAGAATAAGGAGCTCGAATCAGAAGATCAACTTAGATTTATGATAAATTTGAAACAAATTTATGAAGGAAGCAGAAGATGTCGATGATCGAGATTTGGAACAAATGGGTTTTAGTGTTCGCATCTAGGGTTTTTAGGATGAATACCGAGTGTTTTTTGTGAGTTGAATGGAAAAGAACGTAAAATTTCATTCCTGCCCCTCTGTGTTTTATTCTAATCCCAAAGTTCCATTTATTTACAAAAATGTCACCGCCTACTTTATGTTCCTTATGGTTTAATCTGATTTAAGACCATCTCCAATGGAAGTTTAATGGGGAATTTAATCTCATTAAACTTAAAATCCCCATTTTGGGAAACTGACTAGGATTCAATGGAATGGAGAGTTTAATCCCCATTGAACTGTATATTTTCTCTCCTCACACACACACACACATATATATATATATATATACATATATAAATTATTTTTTATTTTTTTATTTTAAATTAATATTAATTTTAATTGTAGTTTTTAATTTTTATTTTCATGCTAATTAATTTTTTTTAAAAATAACAATAAATAAAACGAAAATGATAAATGATATGACAATTCATTAAATTATATAGAGTTTAATGGAATGTAAAGTTTAATGAGTAAAGTTGTATAGTGAATGTAATGTATATATGTCAATCCATTGAACTCATATAAGTTCTATGCATTGGAGATGGTCTAATATTAATCTTTGATTATTCAAAATGAGTGGTCAAGATTTTTGTCTTCATGTCTTACAAAATATAATACTCTCACATAAACCTAACCCTATATATATATATATATATATATATATATATATATATATATATATATATATATATATATATATATATATATATATATATATATATATATATATATAACGAACCTAAAACTAGACCCATTTTTTCTAAAAGAGTTTTGTATTAAAACATGTAATTTTATGTTAGTAATAAATGGAGTTGTGTTTGCTAATTTTTTTTTTCTCATTTGATAATTAGTTTTAAAACTATTTAAAGAGTGTTGTTAATGAAAAGTTTCAAAGTATATAACAATATATTTTTAATAAGAAAAAAAAACACAGTGGTAGATTGGCGCTCACACCTTTACATTTGAAGTTTTTAACGTATTCGTTAATTATTACATCTAATTAATTTTTTAATAGTATGATCAAACGAATATATATATATATATATATATATATATATATATATATATATATATATATATATATATATATATATATATATATGGAAAAGTGAATATACCTTTAAAGGTATATAAGCTTAGGTACCCAAACTCATCATATTACGTCGTTTTGTATCATATATATATATATATATATATATATATATATATATATATATATATATATATATATATATATATATATGTATATATACATTTTAATTGTCTAATATTCTTATAATTCAACTTCTAACTTGATATCATGTAAAGATTTTTATAAATTTCACATTTATTTTCCTCATACATAATTTTCATTTTCAATTATAATATATATATAGCCTAATTGATGTTCGTCAAAAAGATGTGATGTAAGAGGTAGATAATAATGAAATTTTGAAAATCTTGAAAGTAAATCAAGTTAAGGATTGAAGTTGAAGAACATTATAATAAATATATCAAACAAAATGACGTATTATGGTGAGTTTGGGTATCTAAGCTTATATATTTTTAAGGGTATATTCACTTTTCCCTATATATATATATATATATATATATATATATATATATATATATATATATATATATATATATATATATATATATATATATATATATATATATATATATATATATATATATATATATATATATATATATAGGGATAGGGAATATACATGACAGCCCCACTTAAACTTAGGTACAAAACCACTAAAATATGTCGTTTTAACTTAGTAAATATACACGATTTGGTTTTCACTTGGTAAATATACCTCCTCGATAACATTTTCTTCCTCCATTATCATTTTACCATGCTTGTTTTCTTTCGTCAATTAATGTTAATTACTTCACTCTAGTAAACATTACTTTTTTCCACTATTAATAAGGTCGTAGATAATCAATATTCTTTCTTCCTTATCAAAACAATTTCGTCTATCTTGAATATACATCATCAAATGTTAATTGTGAATCCTTTAACCACAATCTTTATATAGTAAAACGATATATTTTCATGAGGTTTGATATCTAAGCTTAGGTAGGGCTGTAATATATATTCACTTTTCTTTTATATATATATATATATATATATATATATATATATATATATATATATATATATATATATATATATATATATATATATATATGGTAAAATGATAAAGAAACAATAATAATAATAATAATAATTCAACGGAAGAACTAAAAGCAACATGATTATTGACTAGGTCAGGTGATTGCCACAAATTACAAAGGGTTTACACTTGACACCCGTTTTGCAGGTGCACTACAAATACAGATACACAAACGATCATCTTCTTCATCACCACAATGGACTTCGACATCACCTTCCTTGTCCTCATCTCTTCTCTCATTCTTTCATTCTTCGTTATTCTTAAGAGAAAAGCTAATGCTTCAAAATCTATAAACCTCCCACCAGGTCCACCAAAACTACCCATCATCGGAAACGTCCACCAGATCGCCGGAGCACTGCCGCACCATGCATTCCGTGACTTAGCCAAGAAATACGGTCCCATCATGCACATGCAACTCGGCCAGATCTCCGCCATCATCGTCTCGTCACCTAAGTTAGCCAAAGAAGTCTTCAAAACCAACGATCTCGCACTAGCCAGCCGTCCATATGCACTCGTCGCTGATATTGTGTTGTATGGGAGCTCCGACGTTGCTCTTGGCCCTTACGGCGATTACTGGAGACAAATGAAGAAGATGATCACCGTTGAACTTTTAAGCGCCAAGAAAGTCCGGTCGTTCAGTGGATTCCGGGAAGAAGAGGTCGACCATTTCATTGAGTTCATTCGATCGACCTGTGGAAAACCGGTGATCTTACGTAATAAGGTAACGGAAATGATCAACAACATCGTGTGCAAATCTTCGTTTGGTGGTAACTGTAAACAACAAGATGTATTGATCGAAGTTGTGGATGAGTTGGGAAGATTGGTAAGTGGGTTTTATGTTGCAGATCTGTTTCCTGATTTTGGATTCCTTTCGGTCATTTCTGGATTGAAATCCAAGCTGACGCAGATTCACAAGAGTCTTGATAAGATTTTTGAAGAAATCTTTGAGGAACGGAAAATCAAAAGACAAAGTAACAAAGAATCCGAAGACGATCTGCTTGATGTTCTTCTCTCCATCAAAGAGAGCGGTGGCTTACAGTTCCCTATCACAGACGACAACATCAAAGCTGTTTTTGTGGTAAGTTCGTTGACTTTATTTCTAATATAAATATAAATATTTTGTAGCGTTGATATGACACGACAGCAATTTTACAAATAGGGGGATAAATTTTTTTTATTGAATTATTAAAGTCCATTTTTAAACGATTGTGTGACATCTATCCTTATTTATTATTATCAAGTTTCAATTGTGTGACATCCATAAATTAACAAATCCTGGATAGATGACGTGATGGACATTAGATAAGACTTTGAATACCAATTTACCGGGTTTAGTTCCATTATAATGTCGTAACAAAACATATAGACCATAACTTTATACATATCTTATAAATTTATAATTGGTTATGGTTTACACATATCTTATAAATTTATAATTGGTTATGGTTTACTCTGGAAAGTTTTCTATAATTGAATTATATGATACATATTCCATAAATTAAATACTCTTCTATATTTTCATTCTACCTATCATCCAACATATTTTCAATAGCAACAAGTGTATTATGAAACACGTCATCATTAAATATGACAAACATCATTATAATTAATTTTATTCCATATATTATTACTTCCCATTAAATATGACCTATGTTACCATATTTCAGTACTTGATTTTGAAGGGTGTAAGGTGTAAGTACATATGTCCCCGCCTGTTTTAACTAGGCATGTAGTACCTCTTGCGTTCACAATGCAATATATAGATAATCGAGCATTTGATGACTTTCTAACATTTTTTATTCACACAGAATATGTTTAGCGGAGGCACCGATACAAGTGCTATGACAATCGAATGGGCAATGACAGAACTGATGAGAAACCCTAAAGTCATGGAGAAGGCACAAAAAGAAGTGAGAGAAACATTTAAGGGAAAGAACAATATCACCGAGAGCGACTTAGAACAGTTGGTTTACCTCAAATACATCATCAAAGAAACTCTAAGGCTTCACCCTCCTCTACCTTTGTTGCTTCCAAGAGAATGTAGAGAGCATTGTCAAATCGATGGTTATGATATACCAGTGAAAACGAAAGTGATTGTCAACGCTTTTGCATGTGCAGTTGATCCTGAATATTGGGATGATGCAGAAAGTTTCAAACCAGAGAGATTCGACAACTCTTCTGTTGATTTTATGGGTACAAACTTTGAGTTCGTCCCATTTGGATCAGGGAGGAGGATGTGTCCTGGGATTAATTTTGGTTTGATTTCCATCGAGTCTGCTCTTGCTCAAATGTTATACTACTTTAATTGGCAACTTCCTTCTAAATCAAGCCCTACAAGTATTGATATGACAGAGAACGATGGAGCCACTGCAGTAAAGAAAATCCCATTGCTTGTAACTCCAACTCTCTATTCTTCATCTTGACGAGCAATTTAATAGTGAGAACAAATAAGATCAAAGGTTGCTGAGCCTTATCTAAGCTTCTATGTGTAGAATATGTTTTATTTTTTTTTTAATTTCTTTTATTTATGTAATGTTGTTATTAATTAAGTAATACGCATGTTTAAAAGTATACACATTGAATAGAACTTACCTCATCATCTCAGAACTACTCGCAAATGGAAAAGCATGATAAATAGCAAAGTATTTTGTGTTTTGTATCAGTACATGTAATATATACTTGAATTGATTTTTCCATAGTAGCAAGTTATTTAAATTTTTCTTACTAATTATTATTATTACTAACAGCGGTGAGTGGATAACCGTTGTTAGATCTTCAGCTGTCTGATTTCTTTAGCTTTCAATCTCAGCCATTATAATTGGCTATTTATTAGGTATTTTACGGTTCCGATCTCAACCATCACTTCGTCTTCAACCTCCCACTACATCTTCCGAGGAGCCAATTTCTCCAAAAACCGCAGAAGCCACGGCTTAATTTCATGTGGTGCTTTCTTTGATATGGAGTGTTATTCCATCTAAGCCCGTAACTGCACAACCACGATCTCTGTTTCCACCTATAGAAGTCTTCGATTTTGAAGAGGGAAAGGGTTGTGCCACGTGCTCTCTTAGTTGGACACGTGTTTTTTTAATAACACCAGGTCTTTAGGTTACGTGGTCTTTAGCTTCAGTTAGAGATCCTTTAGGCCACTTAGTCTTTTTCTTCTTTTTATTTGTAGCCTAATTAGAAGGACTCTGTTATTTTGTAAGACTATTTAAAGCCAGTAGTACACAATGAATAAGCACAACTTTTCTTCGATTTGCTTTCGATCGAGTCTTACTTTCTTAACAATCTGGTATCAGAGCCTAACGAAGCTCTAACTGTGAGAAACACACTGAGAGTTTGAGAGTTGTGACAATCATGAATGAAGAACAGATGTCAACTGTTCCTCAGTTCAATGGTCAGTACTACAGCCATTGGAGAGTATTGATGGAGAACATTTTAAGGGCAAAAGGATTGTGGATTCTTTTTGAAGACGGCCTTGAAGAACCCATATATGGTGTTGTGCTTACTGATGCTCAAAGGCGACAACAGGAGGGGGCAAAGATGAAAGATTAAAGAGCAAAAGGGTACCTGTTTTGTGCCATTGACAGAATCACGTTTGAACAGGTACTGGACAAAAGCAATTCCAAAGTCATTTGGGATTCGTTGAAGTTGAAGTTTGGGGGAAACCAGCGAGTGAATTAGTCACTCCTTAACACTTTAAGACAAGATTTTGAAGTGTTGGAAATGAAGAAAGAAGAGGCCATCAGTGAGTATTTCACCAGAGTGATGTCAGTGGCAAATCAAATGAGAAGCAATGGAGAAGAGATGCCAGACTCGAAGATAGTGCAAAAAATACTGAGAACTTTAACTGAAAAGTTCACTTATGTTGTTGTGTCCATTGAAGAATCCAAGGACACAATCGCCATGAGTGTTGATGAACTTCAAAGCTCTCTATCAGTCTATGAACAGAAGTTCAAAAGAATGGAACAACGTGAAGATCAAGTTCTGAAGGTGAGCATGGAAGGCGGAACAAGAGGTCGAGGTGGCAGATCTCCAAACAGAGGACGAGGATGTCGAAGAGGAAGACAACCATTCGATAAGTCCCTCATCGAATGTCACCGATGTTATAAGTTGGGACATTTTCAATATGAATGTCCAAATTGGGAAGAAAACTATGCAGAGCATGATGAGAAAGAAGAAATGCTTCTGATGGCTCAAATTGATTTTCAAGAGCATAGCAAAGAAGATGTGTGGTTTCTGGACTTGGAATGTTCAAACGATATGAGTGGGGATCTGTCTACGTTCATGCAGATGGATTATAGCTGTCAACAGTTTGTGAAGCTAAGGATAACCACAAGATGATGGTGCACGGAAAGGGAATTGTGAAGCCCTCCATCGGTGACATAAAATACACTTTAACTCACGTGTTTTGTGTTCCCGATCTAACAAAAAACCTCATCAGTGTGGGGAAACTACAAGAAAGAGGAGTTGTGGTGTTGATTCAGTTGGGAAAGTGCAAAGTCTACCATCCCGAAAAAGGCCTCATTCTCGATATCACTATGTCATCAAACCGAATGTTCTCAATTATGGGAAAAACAATACATAGAGAATGTTTGTATACTAACACACAAGAGCAAGATCTAGCTGATCTTTGGCTTCACATATTTGCACATTTAAGTCATAAGGGTCTTATTGGGAAAAAGGAATGATGAGAGGCCTGCCGACTTTTACCCCAGTTGACTCAATTTGTAGAAGTTGTCTTATTGGGAAGCAACTCAGGGAAACGAATCCACACAAGAGTACATGGAGAGCAACACACAAATTGCAACTCGTTCACTCGGACCTATGTGGACCAATAACCCCTGCTTCTAAAAAAGGCAACAGATATGCACTTTGTTTTATTGATGAACTTCAGTAGAAAAGCATGGACATATTTTCTTGAAAAAAGTCAGAAGCACTGGAACATTGTATAGTCTACAAAAGTATGGTTGAAACCGAGATTGGTTTGAAGATCAAGGATTTACACACAGATAGGGGTGGAGAATTCAATTCAAATGAATTCGACCAGTTTTGTAAGATGCATGACATTAAGAGACAACTCACCGATGCCTACACTTCTCAGCAAAATGGAGTCGTTGAGCGCAAGAATCTAACCATGATGAATCTCGTTCGTTCAACACTCTATGAAAAGGCGGTTCCAAAGACCTTCTGGCCTGAAGCACTTAAATGGATCATATATGTTCTAAATCATAGCCCAACATTGGCAAATAAAGATGTCACACCAGAAGAGGTGTGGACTGGCATCAAACCTACAGTGAGTTATTTTCGTGTTTTTGGCGGTCTAGGCAATGTCCATTTCCCTGATGCCATGAGAACTAAATTGGAAGATAAAAGTCATGTATATGTGTTGATGGGAATCAATGAAGAGTCCAAGGCATACCATCTGTATGATCTAAAGAAAGAAAAGATAGTAATCAACCGTGATGTTGTTTTTAAGAAGATAAACAATGGAGTTGGGGAAAAGAAGGAGAATATACAAGCAATGAGATCACTTGGGGATACATAGAAATAAGAGAAGATGAAGAAGAGCATGAGGTAGAAGAAACTGTTGATAATGATACAGTTGTAGAAGGGTTGATTTACAGTTCTGTAGCAGCTGTAGACTCAAGCACTCCAGAAGGGAACCTACATGAAGCAACTACAGGTCCCACAAGCATGCTCTCTAGAAGAAACACATGAGCTCCAACCTATCTAGAATATTACTCCAGTGGAGAAGGGTTTTCAGATGAAGAACTTGATGCTAATATGGTGATGATTGAGGTCAATGATCCAACCACATATGAAGAAGCAGCTAAAAGTTCAGAATGGTTGGATGCTATGAATACAGAATAGATGCTATAGAAAGAAATGTCACCTGGTCTCTAGTTGATCTACCAAAAGGATGCAAAGAAATTAGAGTGAAATGGATATTCAAAACAAAGTTCAATCAACTTGGGGAGGTTGATAAACTTAAGGCTCGTTTGGTGGTTCGAGGGTACTCATAGAAGTAAGGAATAGACTCACCGAAGTGTTTGCACTAGTGGCAAGAATGGAGACTGCGAGGATAACCGTGGCATTTATAGCTAAAAACAGATGGAAGCTCCACCAACTGAATGTTAAATCAGCATTTCTTCATGGGGAGCTTAATGAAGATGTATATGTAGAGCAGCCACAGGGATTCGATAAAGAAGGGAACATTAACTAGGTGTATAAGCTTAATAAGGAACTTTATGGACTAAAGCATGCACCCAGGGCCTGGTTCAGTCGCATAGAGGGATGTTTTATGAAAGAAGGATTTGAAAGATGTTCAAATGAACAGACCTTGTTCACTAAGACAAGAAATAGAGGCAACGTTCTGATTGTGAGCATATATGTAAATGACCTCATCTATACAGGAAATGATAGAGAGATGCTACAGGAGTTCAAATTGTCAATGATGAAAGTATTCAAGATGACAGACTTAGGTGAAATGAAATTCTTTCTTGGGATTGAATTTTCTCAAAATTGAGAAGGCATCTTCATGTGTCAAAAGGCTTATGCTCAAGAAGTTTTGAAGCGATTTGGAATGGAAGAAAGCAACCCAGGAAACACTTTTATTGTTCCTGGTCATGTTTTGAAAAAATATGAAGATGGAAAAGTGATACATGAGACTTATTTCAGGCAAGTGGTGGGGAGTTTAATGTATCTCACATCTACACATCACGACTTAATGTACAGTGTAACTCTTATCAGTAGGTACACGGGAAAACCTACTGAAATGCATTTTGTTATAGCTAAAAGGATCATGCAATATCTCAAAGGGAGTTGGAATTATAGGATCCTCTATAAAAGTGGAAGGTGTGATGGACTTGAAGCTTTCACTGATAGTGATTATGTAGGGGATGTAGATGACCGCAAAAGTGCCTCTGACTATGTTTTCTTATTGAATTCAGGTGAAGTCTCTTGGGCATCCAAGAAACAACCAATAGTCACTTTATCAACAATAGAGGCTGAATTTGTAGCAGCTGCGGGATGTGCAAGTCAAGTGATGTGGATGAAAAGAGTACTCGCCATGTTCAATAAATGTAAGCAGGTGTGTTGTTGTTCACTGTGACAATACCTTCCCAATCAAATTGTCAAAGAATATGGTACTGAATGGGAGGAGCAAACATATCGATATCAGGTTTCATTTTTGCGTGGTCTTACAAAAGAAGGGTTGATCGAGTTGGTTCATTGCAGCTCTCACGATCAAGTTGCGTACATAATGACCAAGCCACTAAAACTGGAAGTTTTTCAAAGGCTTGGGCAAATGATGGGGATCTGTTGTATTGATGAAGTAAACTAAATGCAATATTGCATTTAGTTTAGGGAAAGGATTGAAGAGGGAAGGGTTTGTGCCACGTGCTCTCTTAGTTGGGTACATATTTTTTAATAACAACAGGTCTTTAGCTTACCTAGCCGTTAGCTTCAGTTAGAGATCTTTTAGGAGACTTAGTCTTTTTCTTCTTTTTATTCATAGCCTAATTAGTAAGACTCTATTATTTTGTAAGGCTATTTAAAGCCAGTAGTACTCAATGGATAAGCATAACTTTCCTTCAATTTGCTTTCGAGTCTTATTTTCTTAACATATTTCACTGTAAATGGTTCAATTTTTCAATCAATTGCATTAATTGAAATCGCAGACAGAATTCTTTGTTTCTTCTCAT